TTAAATTTAAATATGTAAACCGAGATGAAAATGCAAATGTATTATGTAAGTTTTGTTTAAATACTTTTCCGAGACCAAGCTATTGCAGCTTTGGATAATTAATAATTAATAATAATGTTCATTGTGATGCAGACTACTGTAGGCTCTAATTTACATGTTCAATTTTGTCAAGAACGCATTATATTGGAATAAAGAACTTATAAAAAAAACTGAATATTCAATGAGCCATTTGATTTTTTGCCTACAAACCAATTTCGATCAATGAAACATGAGTTGCATTCAATTTTTGATTAAATATATAGTATTGTCACGTTTTACGGATATGTGGCAATTTTAGAACGAATTAATTTTATGCAATACCGCTACATTTCGTAATACATCTCTCGTTTCCAGAAAACATACAATTTTTTTATGCTAGACCGTCATATCCGCATGATTATTGATGATTCAGCATGATGCAAGAAATGGAAAACCACAGAATTACTTTATTGTAATAATTTAATTTCAAATGATTATGACCTCAGGAGTGTGATAAAATCAAGATGAATTTTTGAAAATTTCATTTCTACTGTTTTGCTGGGAGTTCTTATTATGAACATAAACTCAGATTTTCCCAACTACTAATGTATTAACTTAATAAGACATGTATTTTCGGTTAACATTCTATATGGACTGCTGTTTACTTGCTATACAACGGAAGGTGCGTATAAAAACTGAGGTGAGAACTGTATATGAAAAGATGCTGAAAGGAAACATTCAGAGTGAGGCACTCAGGTATATAATAATAAATTCAATCTGAATACATCGCAACTGACAACTCACAGTTTCAAAATCCTCTGAGAAAATGACTTAGATACATGAACAAATTTCATTTAAACCTCTATTTGCAATTCCTTCAAGCCATACATAACAAAAACCTCCATTCAGACCAAGTTGAAATATTGTGAAATTATAGGTAGCCAATTTTCGGCAATAGTAAAAAAATAGTGTTTGTAATACCGCTTGAAGATCGTAACAGGCTACTACATGGTCAGCAATTTGCTTCTCAATGCGAGATAAATCTCTTTCTATCAAGTGAGTATCATACTCTATGGTTTTTGTATTGTTCATTTCGCCAGGAAGAGTATTTTTATAGATCTCGCATAAGGTACAGAGATATTTCTTGGGTTTGAAAAAACCTCGGAAAAAAACAATTTTGAATTGCTTATTGAGAACTTTGGCATATGTACTATACTTGAATACATTTTTTCCCATGTCATTATTGAAATGTCTATGCATTTCTGCCACATTCAGGCTACCATCAATATACTCTCTAGATGTTTGAGCACGTAAGTAATGTGATTCTATGCGAGGATATGATTGAATATGTTCCGAAATACGAGCTAGAATATCGTTTGAAATCCTTAGCTAATTCCCGTGATGTCCTCTCAATTCACCATCCACAGATCCAGCACATTAATTTTTTGTTAAATGCGGTTAGAATCTTTCTGTCTCTAATACATGAAGTATTCATGCAGAATAATTCGCAAACACATAAACGTTTGTCAGAACTTATCTAAATAGTAATCATAGTTATTCGACAGTCTTGAGCTTTCTTGTTTAGTGTATCTGTATTTAGGACAAACTTTTTCTTCGTTTCTGCAGATGAATGCTCGCTGCCTACCTAGATCTGCCATTCTATAAAACTTTCATATATATATTTTTTTTCAATGTTGTGTATTCTACTATTTCTTGATTGTTTTCAAATATTACGCTGCCAAGCATTTTCATTCCTTTTACGTTGTTCTTGTTGACTGTGGTATTCGTGATTCTAATTGCTGTTTCTTGTTTCCATCAAGATATTCTTCATTCTCAGAATCATCAGAATAGCCTACTTATTTATATTTTCAAATTTCATTTTGTGTGTGCTCCCTCCACAGTGGACTCAGTTTCACCTTCATGTGAATCAGTCTCGTCACTATTGGAATCGTCAGTCATTGAAGGATTCCAGTCTTCATCATTACTTCGATATAACTGTTCATGATGTGAATCTTCTTGATCTGAGTGTTCCTAGTCTGAGTGTTTCTGGTCTGAGTGTTCCTGCTCTGAGTGTTCCTGCTCTGAGTGTTCCTGCTCTGAGTGTTCCTGCTCTGATTGTTCCTGGTCTAAGAGTCCTTGATCGGAGTGTTCATGATCCAAATATTCATGCTTTGAATGTACTTGATCTGAATAATCTGTATATGCCTGATATTCACTGGTAGACAAAGCTTGATCAACACAATGCAAATAAGAAACAGAATTATTAATAAGTACATCCTTGTTGTGATGATCTTCAATTAGGTCTAAGAGCATGAAGTACTCTGTTTTATCACCATCAGTTGCAAGATTGATTCTGCCTGATATCAACATGGTCCGAATAATTATATGCAATATTTCAACTCATAGCAAATCGAACTGAATCAGTACGATTCAGACAAATGGAAGAATATCATTGCATGTGATATGATTGATCTAGAATCATGCATGCGCATAGCAAATGAATTGATATTGACTTACTTGTCTAACAGTTTTAGATGAACAAAATCCTGACATATTTTCGTTGACGGTTGTAGCATTTTTCATGATCTTATTCGTTCTATTTCTATACATTGTCACTATTTTTCAATATTAATGATAACATCAAAACAACTAGCCCAATATAAACATTACCGTCCTATTCAATTGATAATTAGGTTAGATCAACGGAGTTTCTGCTGGCCGCCATATTTCTAGATATGGCAGTATTGCATGAAACTAACAAGCCAATTTTTCGATGATTTAAACTACAATAGTGCCATATCTTGGTACATGGCAGTCTTGAACTTATCATAATATAACAATCGTTCAATGCAATGAATGAATTTCGTCTTGAAATATTTTTCCGCTAATTTGGATTTGTGGCAGTATTCAATTCGATAGATATCATTTATGTGGTTCTTATGGTGTATTTAAATTTAATTCGATTGCTTTATTGTTCTGGAGATGCGGTTTTTGGCGATGATATTTTCTGAAACAAACTCACATAATCCCTCATACTTTCTTTATGAGATTGTATTTTCGTATTTGTCTCGACATATGGCATGATGACACATTAGTTTTTCGCCAAATTATACAATTTTTGAATGAATTGTATATCGTCCAACTCCATACCAATTTCCTATATATGTGACAATGCCTTCTCCTCCCCTTATACATGCAATGGTTGCTTACGGCTTTGATGTTTTTACCTATTTTTTTCACAGAATAAACAAATGTGATACCTCTTCAGCAATGTCCAGATACGTTAACATCGCCCCCAGTGGCATCCTCGCCCCCAGTGGCATCCTCGCCCCCAGTGGCATCCTCGCCCCCAGTGGCATCCTCGCCCCCAGTGGCATCCTCGCCTCCAGTGACATGATCGCCTGTTTCGACATTCTCGGGTTCAGAATTTTCGTTTTCGGTATCAAACCATTACCGTCGAAACTACAAGGCCTGCAGGCTCCGTGGTGACGTCACCTTAGTGAGGCCTAACCAGCGGCTCGAAACGACGCTTATGGCGCTATAAGGTGACCGCGTATTTCAATTTTAGTTCTAGATCATTATTGAGCCGATTTTGCTGTTTTTTCGAGGGCTTCCGGTTGAAAGAGGATGCCAGTCATCAACTGAGCCCTTCTTCGTATCCCATTCGAATTTATTATGGAAAAACGAAGTTTCAAAGCAAGAACCAGAATAAAACACAAATACCCAACTAGCACCACAGCAACCCATTCGAATTCAATATATTGGCAAAAATTGTAGTGATTTGATCTCATCAGAGGTAAACTTAACACCTACTCATACAGGGTCCGCAGAACTTGAACTTATCGTGTGATTGATCGAAAGAAAATTGAGGAAAATGTATTTTATTTCCTATTACCTGAAAAATTAGCCAGTGAGTGTTTCCAATATCCTCTTGTTGGATTTTTTACCCAATCGTTAGTCTTGAAACAGTACATGTTAATATCGTGGGCGTACAAGCAGAACCCTGTAAGTCCACTTTTTTCGGAAATGAGGAATTTATCACACATATTAGCGTACCGCTCCAGGGAAATAAACATTCAAGTCCATTTTGCGTTTGTTTCCGGAGATATAGTCAATGAAAATCCACTTAAGTCAATTTCGTTATAATTTTACAGGTTGATTCGAATATTCAATTGCGTTTTTCTCCTTATATTATTTTCTGATTATGCTTGTACGCCCACGATATGATAGTTGCAATTTGATCATCGGAATGAATTCTGCATTCATTGCTACGAGGCAAATGACCGTTTTCAGAATGAAATTTGAGAATGTGTTGAGTTAAAAATTCCCGTTTATTATGAACATTCAAGAATATTTCCTCGTATTCAGAGATGATTTTGTTGAACATAATATACGAATAAAAAACTAACTGCACAATCAAAGCTTGCAGATAGAGTAATTTTCCTCTACTCATACTTTTTATGAGAGAGTAATTGTCTCCTATTCACATACTCTACTGTACTTAGATGGACTAAAATCCTCGCGGTGAATTGCATGTATCCAATTTTTCGATAGTTCCTTGTCCAACGGGAAACTAAAAGCATGAACTTTTGGACCACCCACATAATTCCCCGACAAAAGGGAACACATCACTCAACAGGCATTGTTATTTTGCCTATCACCACTCAGAATATTTCACAAGACAGTAATTTTTCCGCCATTACCTCAAAACTGAAAAATGTTGATTGACGTCATATTTTGATATTCTGATCAGTCATGAGCTGGCCTTCACCCCTAGGGATAACATCGACTTTTGAGAAAACACGAATGTAGATGGCTCTGAAAAGTTACCAGCCGATCGAGAGTGCAAGTCTATGCTACTTGAAGGGTTATAATTAACTGCGGATACAACTTTTCTACTTCTTGATACACATTACCTGACTGAGAAACCATATACTCCTATACCTATTGATCATCATTGTATTTCATTTGTTTGTTTTCAGTGCGAAAATTGAAAATGCTCACAAGGAATTCCAGAAGGCAATAGGCGCTGGTTATATCAGTTATAATGCTGAAAAATGTGTTTTAATAGTGTTATCTAAAACTGAATCAAGTCGGAGACGTGCTGGTTTATTACAAGATATGCATTTCAGAAGTCTCTCACAAAAAGTGCTCTTATTAAAACGAACAGAAGAAGCAGCCCGTCAATTGGAAAGTACCAAATTAGCGAACATAGGAGGGTGAGTATAATATCGATAATTCCAAGTTCAAATTCAAAATATTTGATTAGTTCGTGGATAGAACTAACATTCATGAAATAAACCTCTGGTGTACGCACATCATTCCTTTCCTGTTTTACAATTTCTTGAGTTTCGCCTACTTCGATAAACATAACATGGCGTGGGTGACGTTTAGTCTGGTGCCGTACCAGAATTACAGGCATCAAAGTGACAATTGAAGGGGCAAGTGGACGAAGGGGTAAATTAACATTTTCTGAAATTATTCGGTTATGTCATGGAAGAAGTTGTTACATGCACATGTAACTTGCCCTGTCAGGATTTGTTTCTATTCTTCATATCTGAGTAGATACACAGTGGCAGAAGGGGCTATGTTACACTGAACATCAAGAACACAATGAAAGAAGGAACTATGTGCCCATTATTTACATGTCAGGAAGTTGATCATAAGTTCTAGGAATCACACCTAACATTCAATATGTGAACCCTACGTAATCGTCTGAAATTCAATTTTTTATATCAAGGACCAGTCTGAAGAAACAAATGAAGAGTGAGCGCACCAGTGATTTATTTCATTAATGAAATAACCATTGTTTCATAAGAGCATAAGAATAAATCAATGTGAAACCATTCATGGCTGGCAATGAAATTACTAAAACCTCCAAAATATGTCCATGGATGAAACTATTTTTCATCAATGAATTCCTCTGTGGTTCTCTAATAATCTGTATATCTCACAATAATTTGTCGGACAAGAATTAACTTCACAGCCCCCTCTTTCAGAATTTCGAAGAAAAAATCATAACTTTCTCAAAAAGAACGTGAATGGCAGTTTTCTTCTATGAATGTGTTTCTCTGATGGTACCTGATATTGTGTATATCTGTATATCTGACAATATTTTGTCGGGCAAGAATTAACCCCTCAGGCCTCTTTTTTTAGAATTTCTAAAAGAAATCATAACTGTTTCAAAATACACGGGGATGGGAGTTTTTTTTCTATGAATGTGTTCCTCTGATAGTACTTAATAATGTGTGTATCTCACAATATTTTGTCGGGCAAGAATTAACCCCACAGGCCCCCTTTTTCGGAATTTCGAAAAAAAATCATAATTTTTTCAAAATACACGTGGATGGGAGATTTTTTATGAATGTGAATGTGGGGCAAGAATAAACCCCACAGGCGCCATTTTTCAGAATTGCGAAAAAAATTATAACTTTTTCAAAATACACGTGGATGGGAGTTTTTTCTATGAATGTGTTCCTCTAACGGTACTTGATGATGCGCGTATATCTCACAATATTTTTTGTCGGGCGAGAATGAACCCCACAGGAATTTCTGAAAAAAATCATTACTTTTTCAAAATACACCTGGATGGGAGTTTTTTTCTATGAATGTGTTCCTCTGATAATACTTAATAATGTGTGTATCTCACAATATTTTGTCGGGCAAGAATTAACCCCACAGGCCCCCTTTTTCGGAATTTCGAAAAAACATCTTAACTTTTTCAAAATACACGTGGATGGGAGATTTTTTTCTATGAATGTGTTCCTCTGGTGGTACTTGATAATGTGTATATCTCACAATATTTTGTCGGGCAAGAATGAACCCCACAGGCCCCCTTTTTCGGAATTTTGAAAAAAAAAATCATAACTTTTTCAAAATACACGTGGATGGGAGATTTTTCCAATGAATGTGTTCCTCTGGTGGTACTTGATAATGTGTATATCTCACAATATTTTGTCGGGCAAGAATTAACCCCATAGGCCCCCTTTTTCAGAATTTCGAAAAAAAAATCATAACTTCTTCAAAATACACCTGGATGGGAGTTCCTTTCTATGAATGTGTTCCTCTAATGGTAGGCTATGATGCGTATATCTCTCAATATTTTGTCGGGCAAGAATTAACCCCTCAAGCCCCCTTTGTTGGAATTTCGGAAAAAATCATATTTTTTCTGTGACGGGAAAAAAGTTTGGCATTTCATCCCTGTTGGCAGGTTATAAAATGTCACTTTTCATAAATTACTTTTTTCCCGTGGGAAAAAAGTGAGTACTTCTTTCCCGGATATATATCACATATATTTACACTGTTGATGGCTTTTGTTGTGCTATAGTTCCGAAAAATGAGTCAATAATACCGTCTCCGAGAAAGAACTGCAAGTCCTTTTATCTTCTATTCGACTTCGCGGTTACGTGTATTGCTAAATAACCACTGAATTCGCAATTTCTTGAAATAAAATCACAAAATTTGACTGACAGAAGTGACATCAGATATTTGATTACTTCAAATGAATGATAAAGATGCCTACAACGCGGTGTCCCTACTGTTAAAAACTTAAAATTTCACGTCGATAATTTTCAGATATCAGAATAATGTAATATCTTCTCAATATTGATTCGTCCTTTCTTCTGTCACAGAAAAAAATAGTGTATTATACACGGGAAAAATATTAGATTTTAGCTCACGGTTTGTTGTCTCCCTCCGCTACGCGTCGGGAGACAACACAACCTGGAGCTAAAATCTACAACTTTTTTCCCTTGTATAATAAATAACTATTTTTTCAAAATACACGTGGATGGGAGTTGTTTTCTATAAACTTGTTCCTCTAATGGTACTTGATGATGTGTATATCTCACAATATTTTGTCGGGCAAGAATTAGCCCCACAGGCCCCCTTTTTTGGAATTTCAAAAAAAAATCATAACTGTTTCAAAATACCCGTGGATGCGAGTTTTTTTCTATAAACGTGTTCCTCTAATGGTACTTGATGATGCATTTATCTCACAATATTTTGTCGGGCAAGAATTGACCCCACAGGCCCCCATTTTTGGAATTTCGAAAAAAAAAATCATAACATTTTCAAAATACACGTGGATGGAAGTTGTGTTCCTCTGATGGTACTTGATAATGATTGAACACCATAAGGTTCCTAACAAGGATTTGCTAAGGAGTGAGATCGCAAGAACGTTGAATAATAATTTTAACATTCAGTCTAGTCATTTTGATAATATTAAGGATTTCAAACTTTCTGAATATATTTCCAAAAATTGTTAATTAATAATCAATAAATAGTAACCAAAGCTGACAAAGGCAGGCAACTGCCTAGTTATTTTAGAAAAAGATGATAATGTTGAATTAGTTTCTGGATTCTGATAGTTTCACTAAATTACGCTTAGACCCCACTTTGAAATTCATTAACAATATGAAAATTTTGTTCAATTCTTGTATAGATACTATCACATTTTATCATTCTTTTTAACTGGCTGTAACCTCCATGAACCCTTCCACCCCTTTACTTTATGGTCTTATTAAGATCCATAAAGAAGGTCTTCCTATTCGTCTGGTTGTCTCTTATTGCAATTCTCCAGCTTCTGATCTGGCTTCTTGGCTTGATTCCTTGATTAGAGATCTCACAGATTTTAGTAATCCTTTGTCTTTGAAAAATTCTTTTGATCTAACGAACAAAATTAAGAATGTTGATATTCCTCATAATTCAATTTTAGTGTCATTTGATGTGGTTAATTTGTTTCCTTCGTTCCCTCCAGATGATTGCATTTTACTTGTCCGTCAATGCAAATATCCCTACGTTGAATTGTTTGAATATCTGTACATTGCTGGATATTGTTCTTAAACGAAACTTTTTTCATTTCAACAACTCTTATTTTTCACAAGTTTTCTGGCCTAGCTATGGGTAGTAACGTATCTCCACTTTTGGGTGAAATCTTTTTACACAATTTGGAAAGTCAACTAAATAATTTCAACTTGAATCAAATAATTTGTTTCTGGTACAGGTATGTTGATGATGTTGTAGTTTTATTTGATGGTAATTTACAGGAAGTCAACCTCCTCCTAGAATTCTTGAATCCTTTGCACCCTGCAATCAAGTTTACTATGGAAGTTGCAGTTAACAATTCACTTCCCTTTCTGGATTTGCTGATCAACATGGACAACGATCATTTCAACTTTTCGATTTACCGTAAACCTACACACACAGATTCAGTCATTCCTTAATCTTCTTGTCATCCATTTCAACATAAACATGGTTCTCTTAACTCTCTGTTTCATACACTGTTCAACATTCCCATGAGACCAGATGCTTGTAACAAGGATCTGAACATTATCAAACAGATTGGTCATAATAATGGTTTCCCGTCTCATATCATCAATAGAATATATACCTCAACAAATTTATTAATAAAAGTTTATTGCCATTGGACAACCCTAGGAACCGTTTCGCCTCGATTCATTTCTTGGGCAAGGTCTCCATTGATATTAAAAACATTTTTCATCGTTTTATGGATGATATAAATATTTCTTTTTACACTATTGATAATATCTCAAAAATCTTAGTTAATACAAAAGATAAAGTTCCTCTAAATCATAAATCTGGTGTCTAAGTATTTCTTGTTCTGATTGCAATGCACAGTATGTTGGCCAAAGTGGTAGAAGGATTTCAACTAGAGTCTTGGAGCATGTCAAAACCATAGAAAAATCCAAAACCTCCCCTCCCATTTTAGTTAAGTATAATACTAAGAGTTCTTTTGCTAACCACGTACTAAACTCTGAACATGATTTTGATATGAATCAAGATTTAAAGATTTTACTTGTTTGTCGGAAAGGTACCTTATTGAATCTGTTGGAAATTTTTTAAATAAATTCTGCCATGAACAATAATTCTGTCATCCCTTAATGAACAGGTAAACTATGACTGTATACAACTTTTCAATTCTCTAGAGTTTGCCAGAAGCCAGATTTAGTTTGATGTTGTTTTGCACCTGCTTTGGTCTCCTCTTTTTCATTATTCATTTGCTTATATTTCAGATTCGGTACTTAACCATCATTGTTGGAATTTTCCTCTCTCTCTCCCTGAAATCTCCTCATTGTCATTTCTGTCTGAAGTATTTCTAACTGTACCACCACTAGTTGAATTCACATTCACCCCAGTGTTTGATTCATTTTAGTTCTGTGTCCTATGCCACTTGTCATAATATCGTGTCATTAAGACTTTGACTTATGTCAATGTTTAGTAATTTAATTCCGTGTTTCTATCCCCAAGTTGGATTTAACACGTTTTTTGGCTTTTGGCTCCATTAATTCTAAATTGATTTTTGAATTTTAGTGCGCTCTCTCAAGGGTACCCTTTGGTTTTTCCTGTCTTACACAACTTACTGGTTTTTACGAGTATCTTGATTACTCGTAAAGTTTCCGTTCTGGGACTTGACTTATGATTTTCATAAGTGCGCGTTCTTCATTTTTATTGAAAACCCGTGATTTTCATAAGTGCGCGTTCTTCATTTTTATTGAAAACCCGTTCATTCTCAAATATCCTTTTTTAAAAACATATAATGTTCCGAAAGTCCGAAACATGTCCCTTTGATTGACATCATTATTGAAATTGTGGAGATGACTTTGAGCTTTACTTGTTCCCTTTGAAAAATTCCACTCCACTTTGAACAAACATGGACTTCTACCAGAGATTCAAGCAAATATATTAATATGTCAAAGCTGTTATCGGTTATGAATAATACCACGAGTGCATGCAAATTTTGAATAATTTTGCAGGAAAGCATGTTATCTAGGAATTGCAGGAGTTTATTTTCATATTTTAGCAAAAGAGTCCAAAGGAAGAGAGCTTTACCAAATATGAAAATAACCGAACGCAATTTGTATACCATAACACGCTTGAATGCAAAATTATCTGATCATTCTTATGCACGAAAGTAATTCATTGGAATTTTTTACGAATGAAGATATTCTTGAAGAATTTGTTTTTCTGAGAAATATGTATAATACTGACCAAGACTATGAATGAAATGTGCTCAAGACACGCTTTTGAACAAAGGGATGTTTTTGCAACGCAATCTTTGCTCTGCAGTGCAATAACCGCTGAACTTTTTCCATAATTGTATTGCTCTCATGAGACATTTCATATTATTATATGAGGGACATATTTGTTTGAATCATCTTTCGACGTCTCATGTTTCTATTTATGATTTTCACGAAGAAGAAGTAGTAGTGACTACCAAAATCTTCATGTGAGATCATCAACTGAGGGCATGAGAGTATCTGTGTCATCCATCTCAACCATCTCATACCTGTTGAGTTTCCTGAAAAATTGGTATTTTTGAACCGTATTCTAAGTTATAAAACTTCCACGCTGTGAACTAAAGAAACTATTTTATTTTCAGATATTCTGATGAATTCATTGTACGAGAGGATCTGATGGGCTTAGCAATAGGTGCTCATGGAGCCAATATTCAGCAAGCCAGAAAGGTGGTTGGTATTACGAATATTGAATTAGAAGAAAACTCTTGCACCTTCAAAATTCATGGTGAGACTGATGAGGCTGTGAGGAAAGCAAGATCAATGTTGGAATACAGTGAAGAGTCTCTTCAAGTCCCAAGAGCTCTGGTGGGGAAAGTTATTGGGAAAAATGGAAGGATAATTCAAGAAATTGTTGATAAAAGTGGTGTGGTGAGTAGCTATATTCAATTTTAGTACCCTACAATGTCTGAAACTATGAATGAATGAATCACTCGATTGCACAGTCATCTCCATTTTTACAGTCATTTTGAACCCAGAAAATCAGGAAGCGGATCTGTCCTTACAAAAGTTGCGTAATTTGAACCACATCAATATGATATTTTGCAATCTGAAAAAATGTTCCTAAAATATTTTCGAAAATCAGATAATCACTGATTTTATTTTCATTTATTTTCATTTATTTTCATGGTTAGTATTTGAGGAAAAAAATCGCATATACAGATAATTATTCATGACAAAGAAGTTGCTATTGTCAGAAATATTCTTCATTATATTATTTCATTCATTCATTTATATTATTTGATTTCATTTTTCAAATGTGGTAGGCTAAATAATCAAGATACATTTTCCTAAGATTAACTTGCCTCAAAAATCATATCTGTTGATTTCCACTTTTCTATAATTAATTATGATATCAAATTCATTGTTTGAATGAATGAATGAAATTTATTGAAATAGGTAATCCTAATACACGAAAATTTGTAGGTACAAAATATTCTGAACAATAAAGTTATAAACTGAGTATACAATTCCGATATAAAAAAATATACAATAAAAGACCAATCATTTGGTGAGCAATATTAATAATAGGATATATAAAACTAAATCAATTACTACAAATAAGACTTTATATAAATACTGTCAGTTGTGTGGAAGGTCTGAACAAAAATGGAGGTTTATCTTCTAATATGCAAAACTACATTTCTTTTGAACTCAACAACAGTTTTAGAATCTTTAATGATTTCAGGTAGTTCATTATATTCCTTCAAGCCCTTATAAAATAGGGACTTCATTGTATTACACATATTGACACGTTGTATATAAAAATTTTCTTTATTTCTCGTATGATACCCATGGATTTGACTGCTGTATTTGAGAAATTCATTTAGATATGTAGGTACCATGTTGTGAGTTATTTTAAAGATATAAATCATAGCATTTAAGTAGAATCTGTCCGAAACTGGTAGCCACTGTAATGTGTCAAGCATAAGGGAGATGTTAGTGTATCTGTTACATTTCAATATTATTCTCATTCCCCTGTTTTGAAGCTTTTGAAGTGCATTTATTTTGTTCACAGCAAATGTATACAATAAGCTTGCACAGTATTCGAAATGTGGTTGTATGATTGTATTAAATACAGTAATTTTAGAAAAACTCGAAATATTTTGCGAAATTCTACTGAAGAAGAATAATTTTTTACATATTTTTTTATAAATGTATGAAAAATGAGAGTCAAATGACAGAATGTTGTCAATCATGAATCCGAGATACCTGAATTCTTTCACATATTCTATCGTCTCATTGTCTATGGTAAGAGTACAGTTGTTGATATTGATGTTTGAATATCTATAGGATGTTGTCAGAATCATTGCTTTAGTTTTGGTAGTGTTTAGCTTGAGCCTGTTATTATTTAGGTACGTACTAACTAGTGCCAATGATTCATTCATTTTTTCTGCAGCATGATTAAGGTTGTTACTTGATACTGAAAGAAGTGTATCATCAGCAAATAGGTTTATGAAGTTGCACTTATGATGAAAATTGATATCATTAATATATATTAAAAAGAGGAGTGGTCCCAAAACACTGCCTTGAGGAACACCAACCTTATTTATAATTGGTTCTGAGAACGTATTGCCTATCTTTGTTATTTGGTTTCTATCCGATAAATAGTTTTGAAGCCATTTAAGTACTGTTCCAGTAATACCATAACTTTCAAGTTTCTTCAACAATATTGCACGATCAATAGTCTCAAAAGCACGTTTAAGATCTAGAAATACCAAAATAACATATTCTCCTCTATCTATGGCTTGTTTCCAATTGGTGATAGTTAATTGCAATGCAGATTCACAAGAGTGGTTGGCTCTGAATCCCGATTGATTTAACATAAGTATGTTGTTTTTATTAAAATATTCCAAAAGTTGTTTATAAACAACAACTTCAAGAATTTTTTCTATACAAGGTAGAGTATTTATTGCTCGAAATTCCCATGACTTTGTTGAACCCACCACTTTCTGAATAGGCACTACAATGCTAGTTTTTAGCTTCTCTGGAAAAACTCCATAATAAAGTGAAGTATTAATAAAATGTAGTAATACGTGACCAATCACTTGAAAAGATGATTTTATTACTTTTGTGTTCATCAGCTCATTTCCTGACTTATTTTCTATTTCATTGATTATAATCCTCAGCTCTGTAAGTTCAAGTTGTTTAAATTCACTAATAGTACAGTCAGATTCATAAGGATTAATACATTCCTCATCACCATCCTTGATGGAATTTATCACAACACTTATGCTGTCTACAAAGTAATTATTAAATCTTTCTGCAATTTCTTTGTGACAATTTACAGTTTTTACAATACCATTTATTTCGAATTCAATGCCGTTATTGAAACAGTTGTCAGAGCTCTTTGGGTTGATAAGATTTTTCAAAGTTTTCCACATTTTAATTGCATTATTTTTATTTGAATCAATATTGTCGTAGTAATACTGTTGTTTTTTATTTCTCAATAGATTAACAAAGTCATTCCTGATAATTTTGAAGTTTGACCAATTTGCTTCTGTACTATTTATCCTGAATAGTCTATATGCCTCGTCTCTATCCTTAGATTTAATCTTCAATTCATGATCATAGTATGGTAAACTATTGTTGTTGCATTGAAATATTCTTGTTGGTGCTATTTTGTTTATGACAGATTCACATTTATGAGATATATCTTCATACAACTCATTGACATCAACACAATTTAATTTAAAATCACACGTTATCAATTCCAAATTTATTTTGTGTAAATTTATCTCTCCTAAGTTTCTATATGTTTTTAGAACCGTTTCATTTTTTTGAGTGTAATTTGAAAATAAGTCGATGGTTATAATAGAGTGATCTGTTATTTTAGGTATATCATGAACAGTTACAGAAATATTTTCAAAGTTCGCTAGAACATAGTCAACGATAGTAGAACTACTTAGTGTACATCTGGTAAAATCTTTAACTAATTGTTGTATTCCATACATATTAAGAATATTTCTCATTTTTGAGCAGTAATATTCATCGCTTAAATAATTTAAATTAAAATCTCCAACTAGGATGCTTTTCACATTACTCACAAAGAGATCATCACATAACATTTCGAAATCTTTAAGGAATATTGAATGACTAGCATTCGGCGAATGATATAGTGCACCAACTAGCAATTTATTTTTCTTATTATTTATTTCTACTGTTTTACACCAGTAATTTCCATCTAAACTATACTTTTTCTTTACTTTATAATTTTAATCATTCCGTATAAAAAGCAGTACACCACCTGTGTGGCGGGATGTGGAATCACATCTCTCCACATTGTAATTTGTGATATTGAGCTCAGAAGAATCGATATCACAAGTAGTTCGACTCTCGCTGAATAACATTAATGCTGGATTATAATAAGAAATGTTTGCAATAACTTCAACCTTATTTGCTAAGAAACTTTGAATATTCACATATATTATATCACAGTTCATTTGTATATCAGGATACTTTACATGTTTTTTTGCACTGATGAGATTTTATCCACAATTGTAGGCTTGTTATTTATATATTTTATAATTTTTGAATTATCCCCATCAGCTATCAGTTCCTCAAGCTGTCTCTTTATAGTGATATAATAGTCTCTTTGCCTTTTCGTTTGGTCGGAAAATATTTTGAGTCTGGGTACTAAGCTCCTCTTATTTTTAAGAATTTTCATTGCTTCATGTGGATTATTTAAAATTACTTTCATAATTCTATTCTTGCCTGGAAGAGGTTTCCCAAGACGAAATACTTTTATTTGAGATAAGTCCACGTCGAAATCTTTCAAAATGTTTTTTACTGTACTCACATCTTCCTCGATTCGTTGTTTCGTCGATTCTGATGCAGATTCCTTAATACTAGCAATCATGATATTAGACGATCTTCGCTGCCGTTCAAGCATTTCCGAAATATATTCTTCACAATCCATAGTGTGAATGGTACTATTGACTTTTTCTTCCAAAGACGCAATTTTTACTTCACATTCAACTTTCTCCTTTTTTAAATTTTCCAGCTCATTTTTCAGAGATTTTACTTCATTACTAAGTTCTTTTGAGTATAAGTTAGTTCAATAACAAACTCATAGAATATTAAGAAGGAATCAACGAATAATGATGAATAGTTAATTTTGTCATAAAAATATAACTGAACTAACACTCATGTCAAGACCAAGTCTAACACTAAATGAAAACCTTCAATAATGGTTAGGTAATAGTATCTTTATTATTTGACGAATTTGTATTGTTGGTATTTCTGTGCGTTTCTCTGATTTTTGCATAATAATGTATTCTGTTATTCTAGGCTATATAGGAATATTGATACTTCCCTCATGAAGACTGATATTTTTTTTTTCGTATTATCATGGCCTACCACAATGGAGAATGGTTCTACTGTTTTTAACTCTGTTTCATGTGAAAATGTCAACGTGCTATACATGGCTATGAAGGGAATTTTCAGCTCAATTCAATGGTATAAATAACAAATATGGCACCAATAATAAACAAAAGTTGCATGGTAAATCTCTGAAACTAATGAAGATATAATATTTCTGACTTCTTTGCCATGAAGAATAATTACTGAATTTTTCGCTCTTATATGAACCAAGAAAATATAAAAACAAAATCAGTGATTTTCGAAATATTTCAAAAACGGCTGACATTTTTCCAAATTGCAAAACGTCATATCAAAGAGGTTTAATTATGCAACTTTCGACTATTACAATCAACATTCTATCTCTTACCGTTTAGAAAATGGCAATGTTGTCCCTATCAAATCGGCGGGACCCTGTATACTAGAATGCATGAAGGTCATGACATTTTGTTCAACATACCTATTGCTAATAACAAAATTAATAGACAATTTTTCAATTCCCTTATAACCAAACTATATGTAACCTCTATCGGATCTATATTAATATCTACTCAATAAAGATAATCTCTATTCTTTTGGCACAGCCATAATACGGGTTTGAATATATACTGGCCTCAAATTTTAATACATATATATATATATTTATTATATGTATTCATCGATTTGCTATAGCCATGATACAGTTTGGACTTAGATTGAATGAAGTGCAGTAATAGAGACAGACATATATTCACTGATGAGATTGCAATAAAACGGTAAGGGGTTTATTTAGGTATCGAATAAATTTATTTTATAGAAGCACCGGTTGAAGATTCACAAGCCACAAATGTGATCAACGCCTATCCTATACTACCGAAAATCTAATTCTGAATGAACATACTAGTAGCAAAGACAAAGAACTTTTTAATATGTTATGTCTAGGTTCATTCTCTTAGAGCCCTTCTCAATTATATTTTTAGTTTCTTCCTCAGTTTGCTTCGGAATACCAACCACCAATAGGTTGTTTTGCCTTTCTTTCTGATCTTGGACATTATTCTTTGCTTCAAGTTCATCAATTCTCTTCTTGAGATCATTATTTTTCTGTCTGAGACATTGCAGTTCTGCCATTGCTGTCTCTAAAAATGATCCATGAAGTTGGAAGTGTTACCAGACGTTCCATATACTCTTCTACAGTAGTTGATACATGTAGTAATCGGTCTTCCTAGATCAAATTTGGCAAAATACTCCCAAATCCATGACTCGTTTTGTTCATGATTTATTAATTCATTCTTCCAGTCACCACTCAACAATATGAATGATAGTATGAATATAAATTATAAATGACCAGTTCTGCCTTCTGTTAGAGAATGGAATGTGAGAAACCATAGAAACCCTGAGCAGAATATTGGATTCAAGTTGACGTTGACGGAGATGAAATTTTCATGACATTACATTAGTTCGTGAGAGCAAGAACGGTAGATTCTTGCACTCACGCATATATTGAACAAATACAGGGTGGGTGAGATAGCCTAGAGGGCAGTAGAGTCACTGAATGGTATATAAAAGTTGGGACACAGCTGAACTTCTGTCTATATTACTATGGTTTGAGTGAACAAAAGAATAAGACATATATTCTGCTCTTTGTCTTTTCAATTTATCTAGTAGCGCCTGATTGTCAGTTACGATTTTAGAGGTTGAATTTACTGTCAAATCAATCATTGTCGTAGATGGAGAATAGAAATAGGGTATAAACACCCACTTCAATTTATAAAGAGATACACTTTTCGCAGATTAATAGTTATTAAAAGGAAATAATTCATGTAACAATATTTTAATATGACCCTTACTAGACACATATGAATGTACGTATAGCTAGTTCCTTATTGTATATAAAACTGTACCCGAGTGATGAAGTTTGAAACATGGAGATTGCTTTGAGTTCCCACCTTTTGCTGCATTCATTTTCCTCTGATAAATTTTGAATTTGGTCGGTATCGGTATTGAAAATGACATTCAATGATATGATCATGTAGCAATTTACTTGATTTCCTCAGTTTTGTTCTCAAATATTCAATATCATTAGGTATAGTTTTGCAATCATTACACATCATAGGACATTTTCATTAATACTTTTTTCTTAATAGTTTATGAAGTTATATTTCAATTCTGACGTTAATCAAATTTATTGTCAAATTCAAGCGCGGAACGACTATGATGCTGTTGTCACAATTCAAGGTGTGTAACTTAAAGCTGTTCTACACCGTCTCATGACAATTGAATTCCGCCAGATGACGATTGTATAGACAATATGAATAATCACATTTTGAAGTGAACTGACCCTCCGAAGAGGTGATGTCAGGTATAGCAACTGATTTGCATAATCAGAGTGATAATTTCTAAATTTATCATTTATTCTAGTCTGCAAAACCAGATAATTTGGCTAAGCCTGGAAACTTTTATATTATCGATTCAGGTATACAGAGTTTTTTTCAGAAAATATAGTCTCATTCATTGGAATTTCATATTATTTTCATTCAATTAATAAAAATAATAAGGGTATTAGTAAGTAATTATTATGTATTTACATTCTGATATTTTCATTCCCTTTCTCGTTGAGTAATTTTCATTCCTCTTGGTACCATGGCATCAATGATCTCTGGAAGAATACATTCTCTGTAGAATTTTGTCAATTTTGGAGTCATTTCATTCTATATATCACATATAAGTATCATTTACTTATTCTGCTTCATAAATCCAGAAACCAGCAGACATCTGAAAACTTCTAGTAATAACACATCAGTTATGTATGGTTGAAACATGGATATTGGTCCTTCCTGAAAGAAAAAAAAAACTCAATAATAATTATGTCACACCAGGCCCACAAAAAATAGGCATCTAGAAGATGGATATCTACATACATATAATTATCCGTAATCTATCACACACTCTACAGCATGGAACTATACCTCTTATCACAGCATGCTGTGCTTTTATATTCAAACCTTTCTGTTTCAAATCATTGACTGGCTTCTCATAGATTTTTTGATAGCTATTTTTGTTATTGCAAATATAATTTATTAGGTAGACATTTTTTCTAGATTTCTGATTTCCACTTGAGAAGGCTGTACCATTCATTCGTTTCGGGTAGGTAGATATCTAAATCTAAAATTAACTGTTATGAGCTTCTAAAGCTTTGCCGTTCTATAGACGAACGAGTTCTGGAAGAGTGTTGTTCGACATATTTCAAGGTTGACAACGAAAGGATGTCCCGATTGGGCCTGTCGAGTTCGTCTGACTGGTATTGTTAGTGATGGAATGATAGTAGAGATATCTGAGGAACAATTTCCGTGGAAGTATCTATAGAAAAGTGAAAGGTCGCCGACTATTCTACGATGTTCTAATGATGTCAAAGTATTAGTGAGTGTGGCATCGCCCACCAGACGAATAGCTCCTCTCTGGATGGAATCTAAGAGCATCAGCGTGTGTTTGGGTGCTGAACCCCATATGTGAGAACAATATTCTAGAACTGGCGTATCTGTGCTTTGTAGATCATGAGAAGCTGTTGAGGTGTGAAGTAGATTTTCGCACGGAATAGAAATCCGAGAATTCTTCCATAAAAGTGTATTACTGATGGAAATACCGAGCATCGATATAGTGGTCTTGGTAGGAATGGTGGTACCAGACATCGTAATATCAGACATACTGAGTTCCGTCTTTCTAGAGAACATACAGGCTTGAGTTTTGGTGGCGTTGAATTCAACAATGTTGTTAGTTCTCCAGGCAGTGGAACACATCGAATACTCAGATACAAAATTTCACGAATTTTCTAATTATAGAATATATGAACGCGTTTATGTATCTAGTAAGCCGGAATAATAATGATGATAATACCTATCTATATCGGTAAAGTCTATGTAATGTCAGTTGGAACAAAACATCACAGCGGGCCGTCGGTTCCTTTGAAAGTTCAGAGTTGGTAATGAGTAATGTGGCTGGTCATTGGTCATTCTGATTGGATCGTGGTTGTGGCCTAGCGAGGGGCGGAGATCGTAAGCGTTAATCAATAAAAAGTCAAAAATCGATTTGAAATGCATTATGCAAAAAACACATGATTTTGACTCATCGACACGCCGAGCATTGTCTTATGTTGATGAATGTGAACAAAATTTAAAAAATTTAACAAATTCGTCATTTTCAAAAGCAATTTAACGAAAAACTGAAAGAAAAATTCGAAATATTCTTTCCACGATCTATAGTATTCATCAACATCAACAGATTGTCAAAAATTCAAATAAATCTATCGATTCCTTTCCATTCTGTAGTTGAATTTGAAATGCATTATTTGGTATAGGCGTTATAAAGGTAGGGAACGACCTTAATAAATCTAAACATTCAAAAAACACCAACAGTTGTCATTTCTATGTCCAAACTCTTATCTAACTGATACCATTCAGTAACTCTAGAGGGCAGTTGAGTGGAAACTGCTATTTAAAAAAGTGGTGGAATATTCCCATATCCGCATTCGAATGTTCCATTGCCTCATTACTAACTCGTAGCCAATATCACAATCGATAGTCAATAAGAAATATCGATGGTTTCGATAAATCGAAAAAAAAAAAAAAAACACTATCGAAGAGATGATTAAGTGGCACAAATCAACAACTTGGTGTTTTTTAGGTGCGAGTGAAAATTGAAGGAGATAATGAACCGCAACCAACAATTCCACGGGAAGAGGGACAAGTACCATTCGTTTTTGTTGGAACGGTAGAGAGTATATCCAACGCTAAAGTACTTCTTCAGTATCACCTTGCACACCTGAAGGTAAGAAATTTCTTGTATTTTTTCAATTGTATTTATTTTGCATCATTAGAAATCAACACATGGTTTGACACCTACTATATGGTGCAAAATAATTCACTTTGAATGATTCTTGTTTGCCGAACTATACGCCCCACCACATAACTATGGAAAGTAAAAAATCGTTTGAAAACCGTAATTTATCAGGAAGTTCGATAATTCTTTCTGCTATTACACCCCAATGACCACTGATATGACCATCATTAGTCTGTCATCAATTATGTTATCCAATTCCTGAAGGTGAGCCGTACTTGTTAAAAAATAAGTCGGAATTCTCCGTCATTAGTTTTGGTCCATTAGCGGAGTTATAAAATGCGGCGTTTTGTACGATTGAAAAAACAAGATTATTTATTGAAAATACGCATCAAGTTGATTTTCTTTCTCATTCATATCCTAACTAGATAATTATGAATTTATATCGATACTCAAGTCAGGATCAAAAAAATTCAAATCTTTACTTCAGTCAAATTGCTGTAGCTGTAATAAAATATCTCTTGGATAAACAGTATGTACCCAGAATACAGTGTTTTCTGGACCTTTACTCCTATCACTATTCTAACAAACGGCCTGAAATTGTTAATATACGGGTTTCAGAAAGGTCATGTTGTAAATTATAGGGCTAGTTCCGAGGGGTAGATCACGGCGAAAAAAATTGTACACCAAACTTCCCATGGGTCAAAACTTCCCAAACTTCCTCGAACTTCCTCAAACTTCCTCGAACTTCCTCAAACTTACCCGAACTTCCTCAAACTTCCCCGAACTTCCTCAAACTTCCCGAACTTCCTCGAACTTCCCAAACTTCCTCGAACTTCCTCAAACTTCCCCGAACTTCCCAAACTTCCTCGAACTTCCCAAACTACCTCGAACTTCCTAAACTTCCCGAAACGTTTCATCAAACGTCACAAACCAAGTACTTATAAGCAATTTAGTATTGATAGATTCAAAATTTTTTCCTTTTCTTATGGTAGGTAGATATATAGGGTGGTCCGGTTTGTTATACAAAAATTCAACAGTGTGGTGTTCTCGTTAAAATAATGAAATACTTTTATTGCATTCATTATACATAATCTTCATTTTATCTTATAGTAAGTTTAGTATCTTGGGTAATTTTGTGGATTCATCTCAAACCGTTTCGAACTTTTCATCAAAAAACAATATTCAGACTCGTATTTTAAACACCCTATATCTCGAAAACAAAGCGTTTTTGGAAGTATATGTTTATATGATTTTTCTTATAATTTCAACCGAGAACAACACACTGTTGAATATTTTGTATTACAAACCAGATCACATTGTATAGGTAGGTATTACCTACATATATTTATAGGTGGGTACCTAAACTTGAAAGTACTTTACACTGGAAGGAATTTGTAACTGAATGTCATGAATATCTGCACTGTCTTTCAATACAAAATGGAATTCCACTTTATTACAATTTTGATTAATCCACTGACAGAAATCAACTATCAAACTAATTACATAATATGCAATGCATGTTTTTTGTACCACGAATTTTTAGGTAGGTAGGTACTATTGACTTATCCGAGGACTTATCTAACAGCATCTGTTGAAAGTTCCGAAATGATAATGAACTCTTTGAAATTATGTGAAATATTATTTCTATACAGGGTGTTTCAGAGTTGTGTCGACAAAAGCCTTGACAGAAGCCTCTAGCAATAATAAAAAACCCATAATTCTTTTAACTTGGACACCCTGTATCTCGGAAACGAAGCATTTTCGGATCCATTTTCATTTGAACTTGATTTCATAATTTGTTGAGAGGAATCTCCCCTAGGCTTTTCTCACCACAGCTCTGTATATCCTGAGATATTAAGTTTCTTGGATTATCTAGCCAAGGATTTTTCCCGACCGGCACCGCCCAAGCGTTCACAGACATCCTACAGCTTGCTTGGTCTTTCGGAAACTTCCCAAACATCCTCGAACCTCCAAAACTACCTGAACATCACGAAATGTTTCAGACTCCGCCGAACTTCCCAAACTTCCCCAAATCACCCAAACTTCCTCGAACTTCCCCAAACTTCCTCGAACTTCCCAAAACTTCCTCGAACTTCCCAAAACTTCCTCGAACTTCCCAAAACTTCCTCAAACTTCCCAAAACTTCCTCGAACTTCCCAAACTTCCTCGAACTTCCCCAAACTTCCTCGAACTTCCCAAAACTTCCTCGAACTTCCCAAAACTTCCTCGAACTTCCCAAATTTCCTCGAACTACCCAAACTTCCTCGAACTTCCCAAACTTCCTCGAACTTCCTAAACTTCCCGAAACTTTTCAAACTTCACAAAGCAGGTAAGCAATTTAGTATTGATTGATTCAACTTTTTTCCTTTCCCTATGGTAGGTAGGTATAGGTAGGTTCAGTTAGATGCGAAGAAAATATCGCGGTTGGATGGTGTTAGCGCTCTTATTGCAGAGGTGACTAGATAGGTGCCATCACCGCCCTAGTGCGACATGTTCATTGCATCTGACTGTACATACGTATATGTATATGCAGGTATAGGTGAGTATACCTTAACTTAAAAGTACTTTACTGGAAGGGATTTGAAACTGAATGTCATGAATATCTGTATTGTAATTCAATACAAAATGAAATTAGACTTACAACTTTGAATAATCCACCAACAGAAATCAACCTTCTAACTAATTACCGATCTAATTACCTATGCAATACAATTTTTCAGTACCACGAATTTTCAGGTAGGTAGGTATAATTAAGTTATCTAACAACATATCTATCATTTGCTGAAATGAAAAAATCGAGAAATGAATATCCGACTAATCATTGCTTTCTGGCCTCAAAACTACTTAACATCACGAAATGTTTCAAACTCTACCGAACTTCCCAAACTACCTCGAACATCCCAAACTCCCTCGAAATTCCCCAAACTTCTCCGAACATCCCAAACTTCCTCGAACTTCCCAAACTTCCTCGAACTTCCCCAAACTTCCTCGAACTTCCCAAACTTCCTCGAACTTCCCCAAACTTCCTCGAACTTCCCAAACTTCCTCGAACTTCCCCAAACTTCCTCGAACTTCCCCAAACTTCCTCGAACTTCCTTGTGTCTGTACACTAAACTTCCCACGTGATTTACCCCTCGGCTAGTTCTTTATATAAAAAAAATGTGTATCGCACTTCCTCACGGAGTAATTGACCTTGAAAGTTTCTGCAAGTCCATACATATGTATACTAAATTACTAAACTCATCCATGGTGTTACCAAAGTATTGAATACTGTCAAAATAATTCAATTTTAATTATGACAATGTCTGTAACTACCATGATGTTATTGAATTAATAGAGTTTGTATTACCTTTCAAACGGTTGGTGTTATTACCTTGTCTTTTAGTCAAGAACTTGCCAATAAACCTCTACGTTTTGTCTTTTAGAGTTTTCAATGACTTTTCATCAAAATTATCTTGACATATCTTTTTTTACCAACATGTACAGGGTCACAGCCGTCTTCAACTATCAAGCCGTGCTGAGATAATGGCAACGTCGCACGAACGAAAACCGTCGGTCCCATTCGCGCCTAGCAATACAATGGTTTTTATATGAGCGCAAGCTTTGAATGTTTGGTTTAACGTAATTTTCTCGGATTATTTTGTCGAATAGGTAAAAAATACACGAGAGTGAACTTACAGAGTGAAGAAGGAGGAATAATGTGGTTGAATAATTCCCTTGGTCATGAACTGAAGCCGTAATTTTGATCATTTTGTGAAAATAAAACTTATGGAGATATCGAATTTTTCATTCATATCTGAGTGTTTGTCAGTTTGATCTGAGATGTTTTTGAATCTAGCTAGAATATTTTCAAGTTGTGACCATCTATTCAATTTCATATCATGAGTAAGAATCCATTTCAATTCATTGAATCCAAGTTTATTATCACCAAGAAAAACTTGGACCTCCATCTCATTGGATCTTATAACTTGAGAAACGAATTGTAAAGTATTTACATCATTGGGATAAAAAACATTTGCTTGCAAATCTGATTCATAAAAATACAATTTATCATCAGTCTTATGGATTTTCCAAGTTTCAATTTTAACTTTCTCAACATATTCCCTAACTAACTGTTCATAGTTGTGGATGAGGTCTGATTTTTCATTCTGTTCTATTATATTACTTTGAATATCTAAATATTTCTGACGTCTTTCATTTGGATCAGTTCTTTATGGTTTGCCTGGTTTTGAAAAATATTTTGGTAAATTTGGAAAAATTGAAGGAACTGCTGTTTTGACTAACTTTGGTGCTCATAACAATTTTTTTCCAATTGATCCATCTGGCAGAGGGAATGTATCATACCTGATGATATCTTTTTCAATAAAATGAATTGCACATACTGCAGAACGTTGAGATGGTGCCCAGTTTTTTCGAGGTATTGCTGTTATCCACTTACTTCGCAATTCTTCCCCTTTTGGGAATGAAAAAACTGAGACATGATGCTTTCCCAGCTTTTTTTCAGATCTGTAATTTGACTAACATCCTGGCACACAACAATGAGAAGGCATATTTTATAAGGAATAATGAATTACTTACTTATTTCCAGGAGTAAATTGAAAAAAACAACACAAATTCCCTTGCAAATACACCAGCACTAGTACACTTCAGTATAACCTCCAATTTAACACAATTTTGAATGCACTTGCCACACACTTTCAGTCTCGAGTCGATTCCTAGATTGTTGCTAATACTTTTAAAATTATTTGATCTCAATAATACACCAATGAATAATTGAAAACTTCAACAAAACCTTCCATAAACTCATTGTTTACTTCCTACACAATACACTTTGAATGGCCGGTCGGTCGTTCGGACAATGTTGCCAAGTTCATTCTTCATGGCTTTCAATTGAAGACGGCTGTGACAGGGTATTATTAATTTGGAATACAATCTTAATTATGAAGTCAGGTACTGGAGTATCAACAGTTGGGATGTATGTTTTTGAA